TCAGTACCTCCATCGCTGTTTCCTTCTTCTGTTATGATATCCAGAAGTCTCTCAAAGGCATTTTCAAAGGCAACAATCTTCTGTATGGCTGCATTACTCTTTGTCAGTTGCTGTAACAACAGGACTCCCTTCACAGGTGTGGAAGAGAAGAAATTAAACTTAGTTTTACTAGAACTCATTGCTTTTCACAAGGCACAGCTCTGAGGAGGATGCTAAATTGTAGCATAACCCTGGGCCAGAATCATAGGACAGAACAGCATCCCCTGCAAGTTGGCACATGTAACACCCAACCTTGGACCCCATGCAGCAGCTCCCTCACACCTCTCAGCACAGCAAAACAGCAGCACACTGCTCCTAAATAGGATGCAGGTGGCTCTACAGAAGAAAGTGGGAAGTTGTAAAGCACCTCATCCTTTCTACAGTAATTAGAGCACTTTGCCATCTGATGAGTAAAAAGGAAGAGCTGAAGTGAGCCTGGCAGAAGGCCAAGAGAAAGAGCAGCTCACACACAAGGCAAACCCTCCACAGGGGTCAATGCTTGTGTTAAACACACAGCAAAGGTTTGCCTTCCTTATGTGAACTGAGGCAAGACATCCAAAAGCCACCCAGCCCAGCTGAAGAATTAAATATTCCCAATTAGCGACCGCAGTGATTTCTTGGGATGCACTCATTTAACTTCACCCAAATTCTGCACAAGGACTAAGCAGTTCAGCTGACAGCTCCTGCCTTTGCCCTGGACTTACATCATTCCGTATCACTTCCCTGGAGTCTGCCAGCAAATCCATGAGTCTGGAAACACCTGCAAGAAATGCAGTAACAGAGCATGAAGACACTGCAGCTCTCATGCTGGAGCTCTTTAAACCCCCTTGCTCACGACTCCTCTTGCCCTCTGCCATGGCATTTGCTGAGCTTCCAGCTGCGAGTTAATCAGCACTGAACTCACTCACCCATAGGGCTGACAAGGATGATCTGCTGCACTTGAGGGCCTTGCTGCTTTAGCAGAGATGTAAGGAGTTTCACTCCAGGCCAGCGCACATGGAAATCAAATTCCTGCAAAGATGCAGAGGAGTACATTAGTAAAACCCTCATGTTCAACTTTCTCCTCTAGACAGCAGTTATGAGCAGACACCAAACTGATAAGGAGTTGCACCTCCTGTCCATTTCTGACAACTGCTGAAAGCACAACATTAGTTCCATATGGGAAAACCAAACATCCACTGTGTCTAAGAAAACCTTACACTTGACTTAGCCTTCGCTAGAAAGCCAAACCCACAGCTTTCTCCATTAAGATACCCTCCCAGCACAGCACTGCATACCCCTCACTGTTTTGAAGACGATGCTGTTACTCACCTCCACAAGAGTCAACAGGAGCGTGACATTTTCCTGCTGTTTAATGAAAATCTCTGTGAACTGACTGCCCAAGTCATCAGCTTGCTTTGGTACGTTTTCTTCTGTAACAGTGAAAACACTGTATTACAACATGATGGGAAGATCTTCGGTCTTACTACATCAGGGCCATAGGTGACAAAAAGGTTTAGAGTCACTGCTAGAATGCTGGTTAAATTATTTTGGAAACAAACACTAACACAAGCTTTGCACTAAAGAGAAAACCTACATTATTCTAAACATAACTATGTTATTGAGAGGTAATTTGTTTTAAAAACAGGAGGAAACCAAGAATCTACTAAACAAACTCAAGTCAGCATCTAAAGAAAAACAAACCCTATTTCCATTCATGCCTGACCAGATTCACAGCTCTAATTCAAAGGGAGTTGCTTTAATTGTACTTTCGTTTTGGACAGGAAGAGAACACAATCTCATTCGAGTCCAAAATAGCTTCTGAGAGCTCAGCTTTCCAGCTGCTTCGCAGTAGCTCACAGCCAGTCCCACTCACCGGGGGCAGGACACCAGGGGTCTCTCACCCAGTATAAAAAAAGTAGGTTGGGTCTCTGCTCAGTCCTGTCCACACAAGGTTTCTCACCCCAGCAACACACAGGACACATCCACTCGTATCTGATCCAGCCCAGCACCCTGCTCCCTACACCCCCTAAACATGGCCCTGCTTTGCCCCTTCTCTCTCCAGAGCCTCCACACCCCTCCTGTCCCCCAGAGCACACTACCACCTGCACAGGCTCTCATCATCCAAATCAGGCTGCCCTACAAACCTCGCTGATGTATGTTCAGCACCGTGACATCATCCTGTGCCAGCTGATGAAGCCACAGGCACAGCTTGAAGCGTAAAGCACAGAAAACACGTGGTAAAGCCACTGCATTTCTGACCAAATCCAAACGTCTGATTTGGGTAACTGGAGGCAAAACAAGGATTTTTTTCCTCCTGCTTTAAGTGCAGTATTCACAGCCTTATCAAGGAGTCACCCGCAAACCCTTAGCAACTGAGCAGCTATAAAAAGGGTCAAAGACCACACACAATCTTCAAACTCTGTACCCTGGTAGGGGTATGGCAAAACAGAGACAAAGGACTCTACCAGAAATATTTGGTGCCATTCAACCAAACCAATTTCCTTTGAATTCAAACTGTGGTGAGTCACTGCAAGCTATCAGTTTAGGAGATCTCATTTTTAAAGATTTCCAATACAGGAAAAAAAGGTTTCTGTTTGGCTTTTCAGACATCTGAGAGCAGCTGATCACCTCTCTAACGCAGTATAGCCATCTTTATCTCTTGAAGCAGGCTTGTCAGCAGGTACTCACAGGAGGAAGAGCAGCAGCACCAGTCTGCTGTAAATGTTTAGCAGCAGGAGCAATGAAATACTAAGAAAAAATGGCAAAAGGGAGGACAGGCTGTGTGTAATGTGCAGAAATAACTGCAGCCCAGGCATACAAGCAGAACACAAGTGTGAGAGCGAGCTCTCTGAAGCTGAGAGGCCTATCCAGGCTGGGGCACCCCTGGTGTCCATGACTAAACAGGAACACAGGAGGTGAACCAGCCCCACCGCAGTTCAGTGCAGCTCTCACTACTGGGAAATCAGTCACCGCAGCTGAGTCATGCACGGATTGCACGTGCTGTGGCACTGCAAACCAGGGGAAGCCCTTAGATAAGCTCTCTTTATTTTAGATAGATGCTTATGTCAAAATATTTCACTTGGAATTCTCCACAAGCTGTGGCTGAACACCTTGTCCCTTACCCAAGCTCAGCTACAAACAGCAAGCATTTGAACTATGGATTCCTCCTCATCCCAGCCCTTGTCCTCACACACGTTCTGGGTGCCAAGGCAAAGCCTGAGCAGCACACACAACCTACACAGCCTCTTAGAAACTTGCTGTAGTTTTAATTTATTCCAAAAGCTTGACTCTAGTTCTGAATGTTTTGGATTCTTCTAAAGAAGAAGTCTTTTTTATTCCTCCACCCCAACTCTTGCTTTTTCCTATCAGTATTTTTTCTACTACAACTAAAAGAAGAGCCAGACAGAAACAGGCAAAGTAAAACTGCATCTTCTACTTAGGCTGACACACCACAGATCTTGCACCCACGGTTCTGCCCATAATTGCTCTTTAAATCTGCACCTTCACAGGGCTCAAATGAAGGGAACGGCTTCCAGCTCCTGACATTGGCTCTGACCGATTCACTGACATCCAGCACTGCAAACTAGAATTAGTCTTGACATCAGCAGGTTGAGTGCAATTTGATAAAAACAGCTTAAAGAGGGGGAACAAACAAAGTGTTAGTGGTAAATGATCTACTTTAACATGCAGTGCTTAAAAGCGACACTGTGAAGGATGCTTATGTGCAGCACATGCATTTGTGTCAAACATCAGGGCTTCTGGAAAGCAGAAACCCTGTGTCCACCACCTTTTGCCCATTAAAGCCTTCCCAGTGCTGAGGCTGCACACTTGCATGGCATCCTAAACAAGGATTTATCATTATTACAATCTCCAGGCCCAAATCACATCAGAGATAGAATTGGGAAGACACCTGAGCTCCAAAGAACGTGCACAGAGCAGAGTGCAAAGGCTCTCCCTTAGCTCCAGCTAAGTCTTTACAGTGTCCTTTTTAAACAGCTGGGGGTGTTACGGGTGTGAGTAGCAACTAGGCCTAGAGCAAAGTGCCATATTTAAATACGTAGGGGTTCTTTTACCTTCAGAATCATCTGTCAGTGCAGAGGAAAGAAAAAGAAACAAGAGAAAGGTTCACACATTGAACAGGTTTCCAAACAGCACAACCAACAGTGGCATCAGCTCAGAGTTTCTAAGCGGCCACCCCAGCTTTCCACAGCAGCGATTATTCCTGCCCTTCTTATGGAAGTGGCTGAACAAAACCACCCCGTGCTCCTGTAACACCAGTGAGCCCACACACAACTCAAGTTGGTCAGTTCTTTGCTCTTCTGCAGGAAGTGCTCATAACATTTTGTCAGGTCTGTAATCAAGGCCTCCACCA